GGGTTGGAAAGAGGGACCCCCTCGCGCCACCGTCGTCACTCGGCTTCGGCTTCGACTTCGGAAAATGATCGATCGAGAACAGTCATGACCGTTTGAAAGGTTGCAAAATTTCATGAATGGTCATGTGGATTCTGAAAGTTCCTCTTGGCTATAAATACCTGTGAATTCTCAAATTTTTTACTTACGAAAATTTCTGAACTTCTTTTTCTACACAAATTTTATTCGTGTACTTTGCTGTCGTTGAGTGGTTCGCTGACACCAGCGTTTTAGGTATCAATACACTGGTGAATATAATTGTTCTATCCTGAGAGGATATATTCCAATTCAAACCTCGGATACTAGAGGAGAATAATTTCCTTAAGGGGACACGGTGCATTCAGTGGATTCGATTCTGCTTCCTTTCTGTTTCATACGACTGTTACAGATTCTGGTATGTTTTACAGTAATTAGTTTATGTTAATTGATTTATGTTCTTCACTACATGATTTAAACTTTGGAATTTACTATTTCTAAAAAAGTTTGCAATCAGTAGTATTGGTTTAGAATACAGATTGCATAACAGCTCCTTCACTAACCACGTGAAAGTTATAAATTAAATTATAGAATTGTCATAAAAGGAAAGTAAGACAAACAAATGAAAATGAAAGAGTACAATTTAATTCGAGGGAAAAGGGCCTAATATACCTCTCAACTTTGTCATTTGGAACTAATATGTCTCTCGTTATGAAAGTGATTCATGTATATCCTTATCGTTATACAAACAACTCACAAAGTTGAGGGGTATAAAAATAATAATTTAAAACATCATATTATTTTATGTTAGTATAAAAACTTTACTAAATATTCTTAATATTTATGTAATACTTTAAAAATATAAGATTATTTAAATAGATTAATAAAAAGTACTACAATACCTAACAAAATGAAATAAAGAGAGTAATAAAAGTTCTCATTTTTCTTCGTGATCATAGTTTAAATAACGACTCAAAAAGATCGCCAACTAAGAAGAAGAAAAAGGACAAAAAAAAGTAAAAGCTTGAAAAAGCCTTACTAGTCAACTTGAACTTAATCATTTCATTTATCATTACGGTTGACACTATTTTTTAAAATTATTTTGGAAAGAAGGATACTCTTTTTAAATTTAAAGTAAATTTAACTTTAATTATTAAATATAAATTTCAAAATATTTACATACACAAATAATATAATATAATAAAATTTAACCGATGGAGACATTAGCCAGAAGTAGCATTAAATATATTGTAACACGACAATATTTCAAACTATGAAGTCCAACTCATTGCCAACATTTTTCTTTGTCTTTAGCTGGACACTCAGTTAAGTTCACAATTGTAAGACAAAAGAAAATAATGGAAGAAAAAAACAAAATGGAGAAAACAAAAACACAAGGAGAGGAAAGGAATTAATAAACTTGGTCGATTAATATTGGCTACAATGAGATGGTTGAGATTGTTATCTCAGGTATTCAGGTTAGGAAAAACAGAAACAGAAGAAGATGAAATAGACAGAAAATAAATAATTCGAGTCCACAGAATCCACTAGGAGTGGGCATAAATATCGGAAAATCGAAAAACCGAACCGAACTGAACTAATTCGGTTCTTCGGTGTCGGTTCTTTGGTGTTTCTGTTCGGTGTCGATTCTTTTTTTCGGAAACTTCGATTCGATATTCGGTGTAAGGGTCCTGAAACTACGGTGCACCGAAGAACTGAAGTTTTATTAAACAAATCTTAAAAATATTTCAATTATATTACTTAATACTTATATATTTTGACTCAAAATATTTTAAGTTTTTAACTTTACCCGATCCATTTCAATTTTTAAATTTTGAAGCCTAAACTTAAATAGCAAAAAACTAAATGACAAAATAGTAAACCCTAAAGAGTCTAAGGCAGTATTGTAGTTTGTTGCTTTGAAGTTTCAAGTTTGAGCAGCAACTTGGTGTTTCTACTTTATGAGTTTGTTGCTTTGAAGTTTCAAGTTTGAGCAGCAACTTGGTGTTTCTACTTTATGAATTTTTCATTTTATGTTGTTACTTTGAAGTGTGAACAACAAATTAATGTTATTACTTTTTATTGTTAGATGTTACTTTGAAGTTTGAAGTGTGAAGGGAACAACAATTGTTATTTTATCATATTCCCTCTTTATTTTTATTTGCACCGAAAAACCGTTTCAAAAACACCGAAATTATTGAACCGAAGTTGAAAACACCGAACCGAACCGATCTAGTTTGGTTTGAAATACGGTGCACACTTTTTTAAAACCGAACATCGAAGAACCGAACCGAAATTTGATTAAACCGAACTGAAGAATCGAACGCTCATCCCTAGAACCCACTGTGTTTCCTTAAGAAATTTAATCCCCTCAAGTACCTGAGGTTGTAGATTAATTTCTCTCAAGATAAAACAGATTAACTATTAGAGAAGTAGTGGTACCTCAAACTTCCATAATTTCAGCAAACTCAAGAACATGAACGAGAGCACACACAGACTCGGTCAATTGACAATTTGATTTGTAAGAAAATGTATGCAGAAGAGAGAAAAAAATTCGGTTTTTGAAAAATGAGAAAAACCTCTCTATTTATAGCCAATTGCAGGAAGGAGCGCGTCTGTTCGGACAATGGTGTGAACGCATCTGTTTAGACATGTCTTTCCAGAACGTTGTGTCTTTTGGGAAAAATAATGTCTATTAATTTTGTTAATTAATTAACATTCTGAATTAAATTTTAAGAAAAAAGAAATTAATTAATGAGATTGATTAAATAAATTTTGCCTAAAATTATCAATCAATCAATCACATCAAATCTGAAACCGAGCGAGCGATGACGGCACGAGGGGAACCTTCTTCTTAACCCTTTAAGAGTTAAATGAAGTGTTTCCTAATATAAGGACAACATTTTTCCTTTCTTCTGCCAATATGAGAGAAATGACTGTTCATTTTCAATGACTTTTTATTTTCTCTCCAAATTGGTTCCCCAACATTTCACAATTTCTCATTCACACCTTGCTAAAATCCAACAGAGATTTCTCCACCCTCAACAAGGAGGTTTGACTTCGAACTCTTTGAGAATAAAAATATTAAACGCCGGACGAAAAAGAAGAAGAAGAAAAGGTAAATTAGGTCGAGTGGGACATTTTCCTTAGATTGTAGACTACACAGCTCATTTGGTCCACAGTCTATTATGATAGGAGTACTCGTTCTAATTATTTCGTTTTTAACGTTTCACATACGTTCTAATGTTCTTTTAATGATATAACTTGTAACAAAGTTTTGGTGATACTCAAGACGTGTGGCAAGGAATGTTTTTGTCATCAATCTATCGGGAGATGTGAACTTTATTATAAAATTGTAAAATAATTTGTACAAATTTTTGATAATTCGTCAGGATTATGCAACTAAGTGCTTCTTATGCATAAGCTCCAAATTATGACAAGTAATTTAGTTTTATTAAACTTTTTAAAACTAGTTCAAAACTTAAATAGTGACGTGAAATAAACCTATTTGTGCAAATCTCACATTGGTAGTATATTTCGTTATGCCAATAAGCAAATCTTGAAGAGCAGGTGATCACTGCAAATCGAATGGGAAATGCATAATGAAGCTTTAACAAATAATTAACTTATCAGAATGGAAGTATATCTATCAAATTTCAAATCCTGTCAAATTTGACTATATTGATCCTTCTTTATGGTTCTTCTTTTGAATTCTAAAAAGTCAAGAAACTATTACTTAAAATAGAGAGTTTTTGACTAAAAACATCCTAAAATTATATCTTCAAATTAAACTACATCCTTAAATTATGTTTCTTAACAAGATTAAAATATGTCAAAAATTAACGAATTCCATCCCTCTATTAAAATATGTTTAAAACTTAACAATTCCATTCCTCTATTAAAATATGTCAAAAAATTAACAAATTCTTCACAAAAACATGTACAGTTCACACTATTAAGGGATGTTTTCTATTAAGAAAAATAATTTGAGGATGTAGTTTAAGTTAATTTGGCCAAAAACTCTAAAATAAACACTAAACTTGTAATCCTAACTCTCATTAGTGATACCTAATATTTCTCAGTTCATTCAGTTTATATGACTCATTTTCCTTTTTAGTCAGTAAAAAAAATGACAAATTTTTATATTAAGTAGTAATTTTACTTTAAAATGTTCATTTTGCCTTAATGAAGTAATTTATAATCACACAAATATTTATCACTTATTTTAGACCATAAATTTTAAAAATCTTCATTTTTTTCTTAAACTTTGTGTCAAGTCAAAACAACTCATATAAAATGAGACAGATGAAATATCTATTTCATCATGAATCATAAGAGTTCGTTGCTAAATTTAGTTACTCTGGTATTATCTTTCATTGACGATTTGATTTGTTATACTAAAAGTAACATAGATAGATATATATTGCACATTTTTAAGAAAATAGTTGTTTGTTAATAACCTCCACCTTATTTAACAGAAAAAGGGTTTGGGGACCCTTATGAATAATTTTTATCATCTTTATTATTTTATTCCGAAATAACAAATTCCAATGCTATTATCACACCTTATGGAAAACACAACTTATTTCGGTATTAATTACTAGTTCTAATATAACTTATTTCAAGACTAATAACCATACAAAACATAAGCAATACTAAAATTTTATCCCAAAACTATCTACTGCTTTCTCAGTATACCAACGACTACCAAATAGTAGTTGCTATTAGTCCTGCCATCCCAAGCAATAAACAACTAAAAAGTAAAACCCATTATTGTCAAAAGGTAAGAAAAATTAAAGCAAACTTATGTAATTCATCTTTTTATCTTAGAAGAAACAATTAAATATTCATAATAAGTCATAAACAACCAACTAACAACTACTACACTTTTTGTCATAGTCTCTTTTGATAGAAGAACCAAATTCCAATTAGATAAAATTAGAATCTCAGCATGTGCAACCAACCAAAAGCACAAAAACAAAATATCAAAGCAGAAAATGGGACACACACTGATAGCAATTTTTACCTATTCTTCCAAACAAACAAACACAAAAAAAGCATGAAAATGAACTTCTGTCCATTCACTGCCCCAAAGAAATGTTAATGTAATTGAGAAAATAAACTAATTTAAATAACATAATACAACTATTAGTACATAAAAAATATCTTTTACACTAATCAATCACCTCTTCTTGTTCTTTTCCTTGCTACTGGAAAACAGAGAGCTCAAACCAAACAAATTTGCTGGAGGAACATTTAATACTGGGCTGATTTTAATCCCATTGATGTAACCTGGAACTTTCCTCAATGGCGGTTTCTGATAATGTCCGTTCGAAGAAGAAGCAGAGGATGATGATTTATGGAAATGATGTTTGTGTTTCATGTTTGGAGTTGAACCAGTTGAATTACTTCGCGATAGAATTGGCAAAGGACACAAAGTTCTTACGTAACTACTAGTACTACTGGTACTATTACTACGCTTGAATCTCCAAAATGACTTTGAGCTCTGTTTTTCATCTGTTGATAAGCTTTCATTTTTGACGCTTGCGTTGTAAGCGTTATAACTGGGTATGCCCAACTTATGACTTTTTATCGGCGTGTTTTGATCTGAATTTTTGTTGGGTGGAAGAGATGGAGGGATATTTTTTCTTTTCATTTCAATAGGGAGAATTTTTCCATCTAAGAAAAGTTCATCAGCTGAAGTAGATTGAAGATCAAAGGTTTGATGAAATACACAAAAATCAAAATCAATAGTAGAGGAGGATGAATTAGTTGATGGAATTTGAACAGAATCTGTTTGTGAAATGTCCTGAGAGAAAGAAAAGCGAGGACTAGAATCATCTGAACATAGTTCAATCGCCATTGTAATTGGCTAACAAAAGAAAAATATCTATGATACTATGAAGAATTTGAAAGCATAGGTTATGGAAAAGATGAATTTAAACAAATGGGGTCGTAAAGGAGGGGCCTAGGGTTAGCAAAGTTTGAAAAAGTCCAAATCTAACTACTACACTAATGAAAATTGCAACCGTCAAACTGACCCCATGCATTGAAAAAAACAAGTTTGATTAATTTAATTTAGTAGTATTTATTTACTAGGGAAAAGTGGAGTGGAGTATTCAATTTTGCTACACGAAAAGCTTTTTGTTCTCTTATTTCACTTTCATTTTTCTGTTAGTGTTCGATTTATTCAGATTTATGTTGTATATGTAAGACGAATCTAAGATTTGAAGATGACGAAAGCATTACTAAAGGTGGGTACTTTATCAGAAAAGAGTACTTATATAAATATAAATTAAACGAAATGTAACATAGTTCACTCTATGATTGAATGGTCTTGACCCCTGTACACTAGAAAATGCAACACCTAGAATCAATCTCGAGACACACAAGTTTCAAAGAAGCGAACAAATAGTGATGAACCACTACACCAACTCAGTTTATTTGTTATAGTGCGTACATTTAATTATATGAGCCTTATTTAGAAATATGTGTGTACATACACATAAACTTTTTCAAAGTTAACGGGTGCACGTGTGCCCACTACCTCAAAGGTTGGTCCGCCTCTGTGCATAGGGCCTATTTTGGGAGAAACCTCTCTAACAAAGATTTTTCTAACATGAACTTTAAAATGAGAACCTCTGACTAAAAAAGATACAACTATGATTAAGGATTCATCTAACCGCCCTGCGGCAAAAAACTACCCTCTTTAATTAGTTCGTTTATTTACTTTTTCAGATGTTGAACTCTCTTAATGAATATCGTGGTTTTGTCACTACGTTTGGGGAATGTGTTGGGAAAAAAAGGGTGAAGAAACGAGGAGGCACCGAAAGGCAGGCGAAGATGGATTCTTGGAGACTTCATAGTTGAATCAATTTGACTTATGCAATCAGTATATTTTATTTATTTTTGGTAAGGGCAATCAGTACAATTTATATTTTTATTTGAAATTAGTAAAAAGAAAAACATATGTTAAACCAAAAAAAATAAAAAAACACATGCTAAAAAGGTCAAACAAAATCCTTTTTTCCTTCTGTTAAATAAAAGGTCGAAGCATCTCTTGATAATGATTAGCACTTTCGCAGAACGTCATAAAAGGAGGATCATTTGTTTTTTTTTTTCTCTTCTTATTTTTGGTGGAAAAATTCATGTGATAATATCAAAAAATATATATTTAAATTCTTGTCTAATTTTATTCATATCAATGAGATGGGTTGGTCATATTTTAATTTTATTATCAATTCTGGCAATGATAAATAGACTATTAATAAGTCATAATCATTTATATTCATGATGAACCATTAATTAACTATTCTTTATTATTCATTGACATTTATTACTTTTTATTGTCTATTATTCATTAGCCATCAATCCATAGCCTTAAATATGATTTTTACTAGTATACTTTTATGTTTGATACGTTTCCAAACTACGATTAAAGGTCCAATTCTTATTGCCATTAGCTGCTTATTTATTAATTAATGTTGAAGTCTTCAGCCATTTTTTGATGAACACTACACAAATTCTTGCTCTCATTTTGTTCTTATCATGAATAATACCCCTATGCTTTTGTGAGTTTACCCGCCTTTTACTTTGCTTGTTTCTGACTTCCTACGAGCTCTTACTTTTTTTAGAGGATCGACATAACACAAGAATATTACCTCATACATGGATTTACCGAAATAACCTCTGCTCTTCCATGCCCTATTCAAAAAGCAAACAGCTTCTTTAAATAAAAAGGTCCTAAAATGGTTCTTCTAAACACTTTCATGTTTTTTTTGGACTTGCAAGTTTTTTGCACAACGTAACATAGGATTGGATGTATATACTTTCAAGAACCCTCCCAACCAAAAGTTTCTACATTTGCACATATATTGATATTTTTTCCAATTTGCATCATGATATGCTCTTTTATTTTGGAGAAGCTATATATGAAAGTTGAAACATGACATGAAGTACTATTATAAAAAACAATGAAACATGACACATGAAGTACTAATATACAAAGCTATGAGATCAGACATGACATGATTATCCAAAAAAATTAATTCGCGCAATCTCGATTCACAACCACACGAGTACTTATTAGCATATCAATGAATAGCCACTAGTCTAAAATTAGCTTCGCTCAAGTATGAAGAGGGTACGATGAGCCTGTTTGGATCAATTTATTTTAGGCGTTTTTAAGCCAATAGAAATTGTTGGAATTAGTATTAGAAGGTTCAAATGCCAAGTTATTTGGATCAATTTTGAAAATAAAATCGTACATTATCCAAAGCTATGAGATCAGACATGACATGATTATCCAAAAAAATTAATTCGCGCAATCTCGATTCACAACCACACGAGTACTTATTAGCATATCAATGAATAGCCACTAGTCTAAAATTAGCTTCGCTCAAGTATGAAGAGGGTACGATGAGCCTGTTTGGATCAATTTATTTTAGGCGTTTTTAAGCCAATAGAAATTGTTGGAATTAGTATTAGAAGGTTCAAATGCCAAGTTATTTGGATCAATTTTGAAAATAAAATCGTATTAAAATTTTACTCAATAAATTATGACAATCCGCAATGATTTTATGATCAAATTCTAGCTATTTGTTACTACCTCCATTTCATATTAATTTAATTTTTGAGGAATTTTTCATTTTTCGAATTAACTTAATTGTTCAGTTTTCAAGACTACTTTTAGAGTGTTCTTCCAATTTTATCCTTCATTAGTTAGTATTGAAATTAGTGATTAATTAATATTTAGTTATTTTAATCATAAATTTGACAATAATTAATAAGGGTAAAAATGGAAAACTATATTCAATTTATGTCTTAATCTACTTTTTTTAAAGGGTGTAAAATTAATATTTAGTTATTTTAATCATAAATTTGACAATAATTAATAAGGGTAAAAATGGAAAACTATATTCAATTTATGTCTTAATCTACTTTTCTTAAAGGATGTGAAACACCTCAAAAATTAAATTAATATGGAATGGAGGGAGTAGGATTTATGACAAGTCAAGGTTGTTCATCAATTTGATATTCTTTGTGAAGTATGTTTTGACCATCAATTTAAAATTGATGACGAATCATTAGAATTTTGCTACTAAATACCGAAAACAAATCTATTTTTTGAAATGAAGCCAAAATTAAAATAATGCCACTTAAGATGATTTATTAATCTCTTATTGAATATTTTAAGAGTTTATAAATTTTTTGACATCAAATGAGATATCAAGAGAAGTTATTCCTTGAGATTAATTTGAAGTACAACACAATAGATACGTTTAAGAAACATGCTAATCTAACTCTCGAACCACGAAATATAATTCAGAGAAAATAATCAAAAAGATAAAACAAAATTGTATTACTAATTAAAACTTCTCTGGGATTTTTTTAAAAAAAAATGATTCAGAAACTGTTGGACTAAAGTGGGCCAAGTGGATAAAGAAATAAAGGCGGGAAAAACGGAATGTTGATTCAAGTTCCTCTTGTTACTGCCTCAACAATGTAATCCGAAAAAAACCAACAAAATTCAGCCGGTAGAATCAACGACGAAGAGTCACCGGCCGGCAAGTTGGAGGAGCTCCACCAACAAACTCGCGCTGCCTCCTTCTGGCTTCCATTATCTCTCTAATTGTTAAAGCGTTGCGTGCAATGCACAAAACCTAACCAATTTCAACAAAAACCTCTTCGTTGGAAAAAAATAGAATCACGCCTGCGAATCGGGAGATTGGAAATTCAATTTGATTGTGTTGGATATAATTTAAGAAAAATGAAGGCGAATTGGGAGGTGAAGGATTGTTGTAACCATGACCAAGTCATCTTCCTTGTTACCATTGGTGTCTACACTGTCTTCATTTTTATCGTAACCTTCTCTCTCTAATTCTCTTTGATGTCTTTATCTAATGCTTTACTATCATGGAAAATGTCAACTTTCTTAGAAGATCTAATAATCCCCCCCCTCAATTGTTCCAATTGGTGCTGGGTAACTCTGTAGTTCTATGGCTTTTTTTTCACTTAAATAACTAGGTCACATCCTTGAATGCTTGACGATCCAATAATTGACAAAGCATAAATTAGCTCATCTATTATCATAAATTAGGTCATAGCATTATTAATGATGCCTATAGGTTGGTTTTCATGGATTTCTTTAGCAAGAATTTCAATGGACTGACATAATTAAGGTCCGAGAGCAAGTGTTGTTCACTAGGCAGCTCAAAATGTTACAATCGAAGTTGAATACTTCTAAATATTAGTCCACATGAAATTGGATAATTAAGATTGTTCCTAGGGAAATTGATTAAATAAGCTGAATTCAGAAACGTGCTGCTTTACCTCCATGTGGTTAAGCTATTTAGTAATACACAAAATTTGGTAGACACATGCTCCATTTCATCTGTGTGAATATGACATCTGATATAATAAGAATACATGTTATGATTTTGAGTTGATAATTTCCAGTAGAGAAAAAAACTTGATGTGTGTATAAGGTTATACGTATCAGCTTGTCTTTTCGACTCATTGCTGGTCTTCTTAAGAGTAAGATTAAATGCCAAATTTGCATATATTCACGAATGCAATACCATGTAATTTGCAAATAATCTGACAAGATTTCTTTGCATATGGCAGAAACTAACCAATTGTTGTTTTAGTTTTTCTCTGAAATACTTTTTGTTGTTTCTTCCTTCAAGATTTTTCATATTAATTTTGCTTTTTTCTTTTAACAATTGAAACAGTTATGGAGAACATTTATTATAACACCTTTCAAGCTCATTACTGTGTTTCTTCATGAAGTAAGCCATGCAATTGCTTGTAAGCTCACATGTGGAGAGGTAATCTCTCCTCTTCAATTCTATAGATGTAAATGATTTAGGAATTTCATCAAAACCATCTGTACTTTTATACCAACCCAATTCCATTCACTATATACACCAAAAGTGTAATGGAAAAAGGTGAGTTGCCATAAACCCTGGTATTATGTGACTTGTGGTGAATGATAAGACATGGTTTGGGTGTGGCTTCATGCTAG